TGGTGTATTAACTGTAACTGTTGACTTTTGGGTTCCACTAGTTACTGGTGAAGTTGGTGTATTAACTGTAACTGTTGACGTTTGGGTTCCACTAGTTACTGGTGAAGTTGGTGTATTAACTGTAACTGTTGACGTTTGAGTTCCACTAGTTACTGGTGAAGGTGGTGTATTAACTGTAACTGTTGACGTTTGGGTTCCACTAGTTACTGGTGAAGTTGGCGTATTAACTGTAACTGTTGACGTTTGGGATCCACTAGTTACTGGTGCAGTTGGCGTATTAACTGTAACTGTTGACGTTTGGGTTCCACTAGTTACTGGTGAAGTTGGTGTTTTAACTGTACCTATTGGCGTTTGGATTCCACTAGTTACTGGTAAAGTTGGCGTATTAACTGTAACTGTTGACGTTTGGGTTCCACTAGTTACTGGTGAATTTGGTGTTTTAACTGTAACTGTTGACATTTGGGTTCCACTAGTTACTGGTGGAGTTGGCGTATTTACTGTAACTGTTGACTTTTGGGTTCCACTATTTACTGATGGAGGTGGTGTATTAACTAAAACTGTTGACGTTTGAGTTTCACTAGTTACTGGTGGATTTGGCGTATTTACTGTAACTGTTGACGTTTGGGTTCCACTATTTATTGATGGAGGTGGTGTATTAACTAAAACTGTTGACGTTCGGGTTCCACTAGCTACTGGTGAAGGTGGTGTATTAACGGTAACTGTCGACGATTGGGTTCCACTAGTTACTGGTGAATTTGGTGTAATAACTGTAACTGTTGACGTTTGGGTTCCATTTGTTACTGGAAAAGTTGGTGTATTAACTGTAACTGTTGACGTTTGGGTTCCACTAGTTACTGGTGAAGTTGGTGTATTAACTGTAACTGTTGACGTTTGGGTTCCAGTAGTTACTGGAGAATTTGGTGTATTAACTTTAACAGTTGACGTTTGGGTTCCATTAGTTACTGGTAAAGTTGGTGTATTAACTGTAACTGTTGACATTTGGGTTCCACTATTTACTGATGGAGGTGGTGTATTAACTAAAACTGTTGACGTTTTGGTTCCACTAGTTACTGGTAAAGTTGGTTTATTAACTGTAATTGTTGACGTTTGAGTTCCATTTGTTGCTCCAGTTAATGGTGGAGTTGTTACTGTACCTGTTGGCGTTTGAGTTCCACTAGTTACTGGTAAAGTGGGTGTATGAACTGTAACTGTTGACGTTTGGATTCCACTAGTTACTGGTGAAGTTGGCATATTAACTGTAACTGTTGAAGTTTGGGTTCCACTAGTTACTGGTAAAGTTGGTGTATTAACTGTACCTGTTGACGTTTGGATTCCAGTAGTTACTGGTGAAGTTGGCGTCTTAACGGTAACTGTTGACATTTGGGTTCCACTAGCTACTGGTGAAGGTGATGTATTAACGGTAACTGTCGACGATTGGGTCCCTGTTGATGTTTGGGTTTCACTTGTTACTGGTAAAGTTGGTGTATTAACTGTAACTGTTGACGTTTGCGTTCCACTAGTTACTGGTGAAGTTGGTGTATTAACTGTAACTGTTGACATTTGGGTTCCAGTAGTTACTGGAGAATTTGGTGTATTAACTGTAACAGTTGACGTTTGGGTTCCATTAGTTACAGGTAAAGTTGGTGTATTAACTGTAACAGTTGACTTTTGGGTCGCACTAGTTACTGGTAAAGTTGGTGTATTAACTGTAACTGTTGACGTTTGGTTTCCACTAGTTACTGGTGAAGTTGGTGTATTAACTGTACCTATTGGCGTTCGGATTCCACTAGTTACTGGTGAAGTTGGTGTATTAACTGTAACTGTTGAAGTTTGGTTTCCACTTGTTACTGGTGAATTTGGTGTATCAACTGTAACTGTTGACGTTTGGGTTCCACTAGTTACTGGTAAAGTTGGTGTATTAACTCTAACTGTTGATTTTTGGGTTCCACTAGTTACTGGTGAAGTTGTTGTCGTAACTGTAACTGTTGACGTATGGGATCCACTAGTTACTGGAAAATTTGGTCTATTAACTGTAACTGTTGACCTTTGGGTTCCACTATTTACTGATGGAGGTGGTGTATTAACTGTAACAGTTGACGTTTGGGTTCCATTAGTTACTGGTAAAGTTGGTGTATTAACTGTAACTGTTGACATTTGCGTTCCACTATTTACTGATTGAGGTGGTGTATTAACTAAAACTGTTGACGTTTGGGTTCCACTAGTTACTGGTAAAGTTGGTTTATTAAATGTAATTATTGACGTTTGGGTTCCATTTGTTGCTCCAGTTAATGGTGGTGTTGTTACTGTACCTGTTGGCGTTTGAGTTCCACTAGTTACTGGTAAAGTCGGTGTATTAACTGTACCTGTTGACGTTTGGGTTCCAGTAGTTACTGGAGAATTGGGTGTATTAACTGTAACAGTTGACGTTTGGGTTCCATTAGTTACTGGTAAAGTTGGTGTATTAACTGTAACAGTTGACGTTTGGGTTCCACTAGTTACTGGTGAAGTTGGTGTATTAACTGTAACTGTTGACGTTTGGGTTCCAGTAGTTACTGGAGAATTGGGTGTATTAACTGTAACAGTTGACGTTTGGGTTCCATTAGTTACTGGTAAAGTTGGTGTATTAACTGTAACTGTTGACATTTGGGTTCCACTATTTACTGATGGAGGTGGTGTATTAACTAAAAATGTTGACGTTTGGGTTCCACTAGTTACTGGTAAAGATGGTTTATTAACTGTAATTGTTGACGTTCGGGTTCCATTTGTTGCTCCAGTTAATGTTGGTGTTGTTACTGTACCTGTTGGCGTTTGAGTTCCACTAGTTACTGGTAAAGTCTGTGTATTAACTGTACCTGTTGACGTTTGGGTTCCACTAGTTACTGGTGAAGTTGGTGTATTAACTGTAACTGTTGACGTTTGGGTTCCACTAGTTACTGGAAAAGTTGGTGTATTAACTGTACCTGTTGACGTTTGGTTTCCACTAGTTACTGGTGAAGTTGGTGTATTAACTGTAACTGTTGACGTTTGGATTCCAGTAGTTACTGGTGAAGTTGGCGTATTAACTGTAACTGTTGACGTTTGGATTCCAGTAGTTACTGGTGAAGGTGGTGAATTAACTGTAACTGTTGATGTTTGGGTTCCACTAGTTACTGGTGATGTTTTAGTGCTTATAGATATTGGTGCAGATACAGTAGCTGTCGGCGTTGATTTCATGCTAGAAGAAGTTGTTGTAGTAGATGGCGTAAAGGCAGTACCAGTTGGCATTGATGCAGAACCAGCAGATGTGAGTGTCGGAACAGTTCCAGTAGGTATTAATGTCGAGACAGTTCCAGCAGATGTTGGCGTTAATCCAGTACCAGTAGATGTTGTAGTTGTTGTCGAAGTTGTAGTGCTGGTAGATATTGGTGTAGATATAGTAATATTAGTTTTTGGCGTTGATGCCGTACCAGACGATGTTGTTGTAGATAGAGTGCCAATAGATGGCGTAAATGCGGTACCAGTTGGCATTGATGCAGTACCTGCAGATGTGAGTGTTGAAACAGTTCCAGTTGGTTTTAATTTCGAGACTGTTCCAGCCGATGGCGGTGTTGATGCAGAACCTGAAGATGATGTGGATGAAGCAGTACCAATCGAAATTGGTTTTGATGCCGTGTCAGAAGATGTTGTTTGAGATACTGTACCAGTAACTGGCGTAAATGCGGTACCAGCTGGCATTGATGCAGTATCTGCAGTTGAAACAGTTCCAGTTTGTGTTAACGTGGAGACAGTTCCAGCAGATGTTGGCGTTGATGCAGTGCCTGCAGTTGTTTGTGTTGAAGCAATACCAATCGACAATGTTGGTGCAGTACCAGTTGGCTTTGATGCAGTACCAGCAGTTGCAACACTTCCAGTTGGAGTTAATTTCGAGATTATTCTAGCAGATGATGGTGTTGAAGCAGTAACAATTGAAATTGGTGTTGATGCCGTGCCAGAAGATGTTGTAGATACAATACCAGTAGCAGATGGCCGAGTGGATGCAGCACTAGTAGGCATTAATGGAGTACCAGCAGGTGTGAGTGTTGAAACAGTTTCAATTGGGGTTAATGTCGAGACAGATCCAACAGATGGTGGTGTTGATGCAGTGGCCGAAGATGATGGTGTTGAAGCCGTGCCAGAGTATGTTGTTGTAGATACAGTACCAGTAGATGGTGTAAATGCAGTACCAGTTGGCATTGATGCAGTACCAGTAGATGTGACTGTCGGAACAGTTCCAGTAGGTATTAATGTCGAGACAGTTCCAGCAGATGTTGGTGTTGATGCACTACCTGAAGATGTGGTTGAAGCAGTATCAATCGAAATTGGTGTTGTTGTCGTGCCAGTAGGTGTTTGTGTAGGTAAAACGGCAGGGGATGTTGGTAACGATACAGTGGCTTTCGATGTGTGTTTTGGTTCTGTAATTGTTGATGTGGGTATAGATACAGTACCAGTAGATTGAGTAGATATAGTGCCAGTAAAAATTGGCGTTGATGCAGGTCCAGTAGTAATAAATGTTGTACCATTAGGATTTTGTGTCGATAAAGTACGAGTAGGATTTAAAGTATATACAGTTCTAGTTGATATTGGTGTAGATACAGTATCAATAAATGTTGATGTAGGGACTGTACTAGTAGGTTGAAGTAGATGCAATTCCAGTAGATGTTGGCTTTGATGCAGTTCCAACAGATGTTGGTGCAGATACGGTTCCAGTAGATTTTTTTGTAGGTACAGTACTAATAGATAATGGTTTAGATAAAATACCAGTGGGTGTTGGTTTTGATACATATTGTGTTGATATTGGTTGAGCATCAATTCTTGTTGACTTATTTGTAGAAATAGTTTTAGTAGGTGTGAATAATGACCTTGCAGTTTCTTTTCTAGTTCCGACAAAAGGCTTATAAGAGGCTTTAGCCTTTGTGGATAACTTTGTTCCAGTAAATGTTTCACCAATCGATAGTGTGTTGTGTCTCGTTGTAGGCCGCAATGGTGTTACTGGACTTCTTGAAGATATAGTCGTGCCAAAAGTCCTTTGCGAAGAAACAGCAGCGGTGTTTGTTGTTTTAGATGCAGTATTGATTGATGTCGGTGCATTGTTGATACTATTTGTTCCTGGTACTGGGGTTCTTGAAATAGATGCTATATTAGGATGTTTGGTAGATGTTTGTATACTTTTATTGTTGATAATTCTGTGCTTGGTTTGAGTTAAGAGGTTTGTATTAGGTGATGGTTTAATAAAATTACTACGAATTGCACTATTTTGTACTGGTTGTTTGTATGCAATTTCATTTATAAAACGATGTCCAAGATTGCTGGTTTTAGGAACTGAATTGGTTTTGCTTGAAACCTGATTAACTCTTGGAGATGATGGGCGTCTATTCGTCTGTGGCTTTTTAACAAACATTTGTACGGGATCCAATCTCGAAAATTCTTGTGACATTATTGGAAAGTTCAATTTTGCTGCTTTGATGCGTTGGTGGAATAATGGTGACCTTTTCTTTACATAAATATTGATGCCTTTGCTAATATTTGGCGTTTGGTTTGATGCTACATTAAAATATATAAAAAATTATGTCAGACAAATCTGCGGTCGATCGAAGACAGAATTCAAGACAGAATTCCTTTTGAAAAAGCATTGCTTTCATACCCACATTCACATTCATGAATAAATTTTTCGTATATATCTTATCTGCATCAAGGGTATTAACTCATTAGCTGCTCATTGAAAAATCGTCATACTCATCCAAGATCTTAGAATAAAATGTGTACCACAATTTGTCAAAATCCAAACAAAATTTCAATCTCTTCGTTTTGACGAAATGCAAAAAAGTCAGCCTTACCTTATGTATACATTAAATATGTAAACAATCACCTATTCTAGTAACCAGATACCACATAACTCAAATTTTAATACATAATGCATAAAAAAAATTCTACTGTGTTCTACATTACTTGTACCAAGTTAGTGATTGATAATTACGTATTTATTAGTAAAAAATTAAGTACTTGGACTTGGTAAAGACACAGCTTATTTTGCAACTGACATTCAAAAACAAAATCTCATCACCGATTTATTGCAGTGGAGCATCAATCTAATAAAGATATCTTTCTTACAAAGGCATTGTTGATCTTTAAATCATCCCCCTTTTGTTGCTTGCGATCTTGTTACTACTGGTACCTACTGCGTGACTCCCTTTTGCTTCAACTGATGTAACCACGACAGGAATAGTGACTATGACCTTCCATCAAAGCTGGCAACTTAATATTGCCCTACACAGTGAATTTGTACGACTTTGTTTTTTGTTTCCAGATAAAATTTGCTTTCTGCTCGACATAAATAAGGCTTCATCTTGCCGTACGAGCTAGTGACGAATACCTTCGCATACAACTGATCTAAACAGGGTGATGGGGAACATTCATGGTTGTTGATATTTGAATTGGGATAAGTTGACATGGGCACAATTCAAGTTAATATACCAAAACCACAAGCCGATACCAATACAAGGAATTTCAATCAAATGAAAAGAAAGAAAGATCAGCGCATGCTGTCGCGGCGCCATCAGTGAAGCAAACATGACTCTTAAATGTTAAAGAACCATAAACCATGCAACATGCCAATATCCAATTAAGCACCATTACATGTGCTAGATTGAGATCAAATTTGTGATTCTCAATTTAAAACAGAAATAGCTTTCGAATTCGAAAAAATTGTGACCTGAATAACGAATAAAATGCTGTGTAAATTTTCATTTCATAAATTTTCAATAAATACTAAAAATTCTGATGAATCTTTCAATACTCTGCCTAATCGAGCACACGTTTCACACCATAGCTATGAATTCTAAAGAAAAATCCATGAAAATGGTCTTAACCTGTAGAACGAGCGCTGTTTGCTTTACTGCTGCCCGCTTGTAGCATAGCTGAAGAAAAGAAAATAAGAATTTCAAAAATTATTAATACATCAAAATAAAAATATAAAAAAATTCATGATTTTTACTAAAATTTGAAAAAGGAAATTAAAATTTCTCTCTTTATTTTCTTTGAATGTAACGTTAGTTAAGGACTATTTCGCGGGTAGGATAAATAAAGGTTAGGTAAAAAAAAACACAAACACATTCTTGATATAAATTCTTTTATTCCAAATATATTCAGGACTGAAAATACACGAATACAGATGAAGCAAACCCTATTAAACAGTACTTTGAAAAGCATCCGGATTACAGTCTTCAAACAAATTTACAGTTATAACTACCATTGTATCATATACATATAATTATGCCATTACTATTTCATAGGTCATTTTGCAATATAATAAATTTCCAAAAGCAATTAAATAATATAGGAGATGAGGCAACAGAAAATCTTTACACAACAGCTAATCCAGAAGCACCCTCTAATCCGGGTATTTCATAAACTGAAAGTAGACAAGGGAATACATTAAAACATTTGTATTTGAAATATACATTAACTGGAATTATTTATATGTTCATGTTTATAGAAAAACTTTATAGTACTGTACATAATTGGATATAAATGCTTTAATTTGACTATGAGTTATCGGCCATTAATGTGTCACAAAATGTTTTGCAATGTAACATGCTAAAACTATGCATAGTATATTGATTATCAACAATAAGTAATCAAAAGCAAGCACATGAAAATACTTACTCGACATGCCATTTGACGGTGGAATATATTGTTCTGAAAATTAAAAAGAAGAAAAGTGACTGAACCAAATACATGTATAAACAATGGTGAATTCGTTTCAAATCTTTGATACTGGTGCTTCAGCAAATTCCTTGTGCGAATATGCATATTCAAAAGTTTTGTTGTGCGAGTTACTTATACTAATTTATCACAATTTTATACCGAAGCCAGTCAAGAATCAACGTGTTAAAGCATCAACTCTGCAAGCCCCATTATTTATCAGATATAAAAATGTTACTGACCAACATAACCTGTGCCTGAATAAGGATCGAAATTACCACCATTATTTACAAAATATGGATCATACTGACCACCTAAAGTAAAAGTAAAATAAAATGAATGAAGTCATTTGAATAGAAACATCTCTGAAGAATATCTAGAGAAAAAGATACGACAGGACCTGATTGTAAAGTAGTGTTTATTGTATTTATTTATGCAAGTTATGCGAAAACAAATGGGTTCCTCAAATGGAAATAAGAGTATCATCGAGATATACTTGCAAGATCGATATCATCGGTGATTCGAACTTACCTGGATACATTTTGTCTATCATATTTTGATTCATTGCTGGATCAACCATTGTTGATTGTCCATTCGTTGCAGTATTTGATCCGGGTTCTAATTTAAAAAAAAAACATATATATTTATGAACGATCACAGCAAAGATTAAAAAAAACTACCAAACTCGGCATCTTATTTTCAGAATTCTTTTTTTAAGTACTAATTATGTAATGCTTAAAAAGGTACTTGCTTCTACCACCGTGATGTTTGAAGTAGATTATTCCCAATGTCGCTGATGTCCCAAATTTACAAACCTGTTAATACTCCGGGAGACGTTCCCATTGATACGCCTACTATTGGTTCCACTACACCGACTGCCTGACTACCTGCTTCAAACGCTGGATTACCAGTTAATCCCTGAACTTGACTACCGCTTCCAGCTACCTGTGCTGCGGCCGATATCCTGGCTCCACCTCCGACAGGAGCTGCAACAGCTGCTACCGGTTCTATAATTGGCTCAACTGGCGTGTTCAGTATTGATCCAGTAAGAAATGTTGATCCTGTGCTACCAATAGATGATCCTGTGCTGCCAGTAGTTGATGATCCCATGGTGCCCAGAGGATATGTTGCTGCGCCTGTGTTACCAATCTGGGAACCTGATACCGATTTGCCACTTGATGATAAACCGGTAGTGCTAACAATTGTTGACAATCCTGTATTACCAGTTACCCCTAACGTTCCGGTTGTGCTGACTGTAGCTCCACCTCCAATGCTTCCGGAAAGAGAAGTGGAACCAGAATTGCCAGTTAGGGAGGTTGAGCCTGAGGTGCCAGTCAAGGCAGCTGAGCCAGTATTGCCGGTTAAATATACTGATCCGGTGCTCCCAGCCAAAGCCGTAGAAGCTGTGTTACTAAAAGAAGGTGATGTGGCAGATATTGTGGATTGAGTTTGGGTCTGCGTCTGAGTACTAGAACTAGATCCTGAAGAAGAAAATCAAATACGTTATTTATATTTTTTGTTACTATAAAATTTGGTTTATTTTGAACCGGATTATCAAATTAAGCACAGGGTAAATCAATCACGATAAATGACGAAACCCAGGCATCGGACTGGCATATGACAACAAACAACGTAAGATGTAATAAGGTCTTTATTTTCAAATAAATGGTATTATTCATAAAGGATCTAATAGTATGATCACATCGTAATAGGAAACGAGAGATTAATTTGGGGAATAGAGTTGGTTAAAATATTCTGAGAAAGAGGGATCTAATTGAGAAAGAGAGGTCCAAAATCATACTACATCATTGAGGAGAGTGTCGCATATACGGTTTCGGATATTGGAAGAATTTCTGTTTTCGAAATGCTAAGGATAAGGATTAAAAGGGGATACCAAATTAAAGGTTAAAAGTGATAGGTTTGAGAGAGAGAGGAACTACTAGTACCTGGGCCAAGGTTAGTTTGGGAGGTTGAAGTAGTGAGAACTGGATCAACTGTTCCTGTAGTTGAAAAGCTAGTTGTTTGACCTGATGCAGCAATACTGGATGATCCTACAGAATATAAAATACAAAATATCAGTATAAGAAAATTGCAATGATAACTTATATCCTGGACCATATATATGTATAACAGTTAAAAGGCATTGTGTTTCGGGTGCATGATGGTGGTAATGGAACGTTACTTACCAGGAGTATTATGTAACGGCTCAAGCTGGAAGGAGGTATGTCCATTGCCTGAATAAAACATATTGTTAAAAAATACGATTGTTCTATTCAAGTTTGTTATTTTTGATAACCTTATACTATCTCAGTAAATATTTTACAGAAGCATTAGTCACTTGGTAGATTTAGTATTTTAAATGTAATGCCCATTAATTTGAATCTTTCAGCATATGAATGTAACTCTTTTAATACTTACTTCCTATGCCCAGTGAACCTGGTGGAATCCCGTTGACACTTCCAGATGATTGGGTGTTAGTACCAATCCCGGTGAGTAGAGGATCATTCAAGGATGTGCCAGAAGCACCTCCAATAGCTAATGGGTCGACCGATTGGCTGTTGGGGAGATTTCCTGCTAATGGATCAACCGCTGCATTGACTGGCAGTTGGTTGTAAGAACTGCTTCCGGTTAGACGATTTGTGGAGGTTGATTGACTGTATGTTCCACTTCCCGTGAGCGCTGGGTCTACCAGATTGCCATTGGTTACCGATTGAGTGATTGATCCACCCACATTAACGAGTGGTTCAGTGGGACCTGATAAAACAACTTGATTAGGTGCCTGAAGTGGATCAACCATCGTTGAAAGTGTTGGGTCAACATACTGTGTTGTACCAGAAATATTAGTGCTGGCAATTTGTGACGTGGGTCCCGACTGGCTAGAGACATGTACAACTTGTGATGTTGTGCCTGATTGACTGCCTTTGACGGGGTCAACATACTGTGTCGTTCCGGATGATAAACTGGATCCGAAGTTTAATGGATCGACAATGGATGTAGTTGCTGACTGACTACTGGTTGCTGGGTCTACATACTGATTAGAAAGTGATGATTGGCTTTTGACACTTCCTCCAGTGATTAGGTCAACATATTGTGTAGTTCCCGACGATAAGCTGGCACCGGCAAGTGATGATTGACTGCCTTTGACGGGGTCAACATATTGTGTCGTTCCTTGTGATAAGCTAGATCCAACGGTTAACGGATCGACAATGGATGTGGTTGCTGACTGACTACTGATTGTTGGATCTAAATATTGACCAGAAACTGATTGGCCATTGGCAGTTCCTCCTGTGGCTGTTGAAAGCGTTGGGTCAACATATTGGGTAGTTTTCGATGATAAACTGGCACCTGCATGTTGTGATGTTGTGCCTGATTGACTGCCTGTAACACGGTCAACATATTGTGTCGTACCTGGTGATAAGCTGGCTCCGAGGTTCAAAGGATCGACAATGGATGTAGTTGCTGACTGACTACTGATTGCTGGGTCTACATACTGATTAGAAAGTGATGATTGGCTGTTGATACTTCCTCCAGTGGCTGTTAAAATCGTTGGGTCAACATATTGGGTAGTTGTCGATGATAAACTGGCACCTGCATGTTGTGATGTTGTGCCTGATTGACTGCCTGTAACAGGGTCAACATATTGTGTCGTACCTGGTGATAAGCTGGCTCCGAGGTTCAAAGGATCGACAATGGATGTAGTTGCTGACTGACTACTGATTGCTGGGTCTACATACTGATTAGAAAGTGATGATTGGCCGTTGATACTTCCTCCAGTGGCTGTTAAAAGCGTTGGGTCAACAAATTGGGTAGTTGTCGAAGATAAACTGGCACCTGCATGTTGTGATGTTGTGCCTGATTGACTGCCTGTAACAGGGTCAACATATTGTGTCGTACCTGGTGATAAGCTGGCTCCGAGGTTCAAAGGATCAACAATGGATGTAGTTGCTGACTGACTACTGATTGCTGGGTCTACATACTGATTAGAAAGTGATGATTGGCTGTTGATACTTCCTCGTGTGGCTGTTAAAATCGTCGGGTCAACATATTGGGTAGTTGTCGATGATAAACTGGCACCTGCATGTTGTGATGTTGTGCCTGATTGACTGCCTGTAACAGGGTCAACATATTGTGTCGTACCTGGTGATAAGCTGGCTCCGAGGTTCAAAGGATCGACAATGGATGTAGTTGCTGACTGACTACTGATTGCTGGGTCTACATACTGATTAGAAAGTGATGATTGGCTGTTGATACTTCCTCCAGTGGCTGTTAAAATCGTTGGGTCAACATATTGGGTAGTTGTCGAAGATAAAGTGGTACCGGCAAGTTGTGATATTGCGCCTGGTTGACTTCCTGTAATAGGGTCAACATACTGTGTCGTTCCGGATGATAAATTGGATCCGATGTTCAATGGATCGGCAATTGATGTGGCTGCTGACTGACTACTGATTGTCGGGTCTACATACTGATTAGAAAGTGATGATTGGCTGCTGGCACTTCCCCCAGTAGCTGTTGAAAGCGTTTGGTCAACATATTGGGTAGTTGTCGACGATAAACTGGCACCGGCAAGTTGTGATATTGTACCTGATTGACTGCCTGTAACGGGATCAACATATTGTGTCGATGTGCCACTGGTCCCAATAAGTGGGTCAACGAACTCATTCGTAGCTTGGTTGTTTCCTGCTGGTTCAACATACCCTACGCTGCTCCCACTCGGAAGAGGTTCAACATAAGTAGTTGACCCAGATGTCTGCCTACTGATGCTGTTTCCTGTTATTGCTGGATCGACAGCCAGATTTATGGATAGTCCGTTTACACTATTACCAACAGCATTAACTGAGTTAATCGGATCTACTGTTAGTGATTGTCCTATGCTATTTGTTCTAGAGTGCACAGATCCCGTGTTGAGATTGGTAGACAAGGCATTGCCTCCATACAATTCAGCAGTTTGCGAAGCAATTGTTGGTGAACTTAAACTTGTGGGTGTGCCTCCAGAGACTGTTGAAACCGGGTAATTCATTCCTACAATACCAGCTAAAAAAACACTGTAGATGTAAGCATCAATTGTACACGACGTACTGTATTTCTCCCCTACCCATTTATTTTGAATCTCTTTAACGCTTGACTACAAAAGCGCCAAATCTCAAGCATAGTTATCTGTAGCTGTGAGTCTGTGCATAGTTTAGAGCAGGAACGAACTATTCATCATATATTGGAGAGGCCACAAATTAAATGCATAAAAACTTATATCAGTGGGCGCGGCCATGATAAGCTATGGTTGTGGTTATTTTGAGATTCGGTCGACTTCGATTATTATTGTATGTGTATGGGAATACATTATAACGCTTATTAAATGCATTGTCAAACAAAACACGTTGCAAGCCACCACTCAATAAGTGATGTATTATAACCTGTTAGTAGACAAATTAATGGTGGCTCACTTGTAATATACGATATTTTCGTATGTTAAAATGTGTTACTAGGATTCGGCTTTAAATGTCAATTTTAGTTGTAAATCGGTTTTATAAAGTGATCAATTCTGAAAAATAGCCTTACCTTTATATCCTGATATCATATTATTAGGTTAAAGATCACAATATATCAATCAAATTTTGACAATTAAAGACATAATATTATCCATTTCCCTGTCTTTTATAGTTATCATTTATTTTATTATGTTTCATTATGACAAGTGTCAAAATTTGATTGACACTGATAGCTAGTAATCAACATATCAGTCACCATACATGCCAAGTACCCTAATTATTTTAGAACATATATCTCCTTTAAGGACTTTATATTGTTCATTAGCATTTGAATTTTACTTTCACGAACGTCTTATTTGCATGGGCCTCAAATATGGTAAAATCTTGGGCCAAAATAGACTATACCCTATAAATAAGAAATACTTTATATAAAATAACTACTTTTTAAATAACAAGCGACGTTTGACTGATGAAGACTAACCTACCTAGTTGAAACGTCGCCTGTTATAAAGATAGTAGTAAATTTAGGTAAAGTTTTTCAATTATATAATCCAAGCCAATTACAAAATGGAGTTCGTTATTTCCATCTCTCTACAGTTGCAAATAGCTTTATCTCTTAATGGAAATGCAATGGATGCCCAAATTTATATCAATTTATGTATATATCAATTTATGTATAATATCAAATTATACCAATTCATGTATAGCAATTTATATCTACCTGACTGATTAGTAGGTCCAAAATCACAAATGAAGTCGTCCAATATCTATGCAGTCAAAATGAGCCGATCAGACGATTACTAAGCTATGGCGCGAAAAATTTATTTGGGCGAACGCAGGCGATAGATATTGTGTGTGTCATTGCGAATCGCAATAAAGACAGCCAAATATTCGGATATTGTCAAGCTCGATTGTCAACGTTGATCTTGAAATATAACTCATATGGGTTTATAGTATCAATTTTTCTTTCATTTTTGTAACCCTGTACAATTATACTCTTTAACTCAACTTCTGTATACCTCACAGTGTTGATTAAAATAATTGCCACCAACCTTATGTCTGAAGTCTTAACCGGGTAATCTATCGTACATCTATCACTTGAGATTTCATGAATGAACACAATGTATAGAACAGGGCCCGTTTCTCAGAAGCCTTGTGATCTTATTTGAACATGCCAAATCTAATAGCTTGGTAATTTTCACTAGGACAAAAATGATTCTAAGATTTTGAAGAAATTTAATCGTGTTTTCAAGGGGGTGGGGGAGAGGGTTGAGGGGGGGGGGGGGTCGGTATTTTCATTCTCATGCCAGCTGAAGCAACCCTATTGCCACCATTTGAAACAATTAAACGAACAATTTTTGATTATTAAAACCAATTTTATTTTGAAGTTCAAACAGTGAGGAAGCTTGCGGCTGAAATGAAAAGGAAAGGAGATGTTATTAGGAACGACAGAATGTTAGAGGAAATAAGGATCTTTTTTTAATAAATTTTTCTTTTCACAAGTGCATAGTTTTTGCGTTTCGGTTTTTGATGCATTTCGATTCAAGATGAAAATATGTACTGCTTTCATTTACAAATAAATGTAGATCTATGAAGATTAACATTAAAAGGATGTGTAATATCATGTGCACAAGCAGAATATTTATCACTTTTCCCCTTGAGTGGTGAGGACGGTAGACCATTTGAAAATCCGAAATTTTGTTGTGTGTTCTTTTTACTGTTTTGTCTACTGCTTTTTTTAAATCAAGGTTTGGGAACTGCGTTTTGGTTTAATATAATGGCAATGATTCATTGCGTAAAAAGATTTCTGTTATGAATAATTGGACTTTTGTTAATTATTTCTTTAACAAGCTTACCTGTGTTGCTTGTGCCAGTTGTAATCGGATCTACATATGTACCTGAAATCATATTATATCACCTTGCTTATCATTGGGGCCTTAAATATGGATATTAATTCCACTTTCTCTAATTGGTTTCAGGTTTCTATTACAAAATAGCTAAATCGTTCAACAGACCGTTTATTCGGTACATAAATAATGTTTCAAGGATGACAGTACAGAAGTTTCGTTTTAGAAAAATATTTACTTCAAAAGCAAAACATGAAACAACGCGAAATGAATATATCAGTGAAAAAAATTTATTTTAAATTATGTGGGGGACAAATGTGCGAAATTTGATGATTTTTCATTAGAATAACACTTTTGATTTTTTATGAAAGACATTACAACCCACAAATTTTCATTTGATTTCTGCATTTGTCCCGACGACTTAACAACTAACAAAAAGGTAACATCAGATAAATTTTAGATGTGATATAAATCGGGCATTCAAAATCGAGAAACTTAATTTCTTACCTGCAGTGCTACCCCCAACTGCATATGGGTCAACTAATGTCGTCGGTTCTAAACCTGAATAATCAAATATGAACCAAAATAAGCTTGAGATACAGAATTAAATTTAATTAATATTAGACCAAACTTTCTGTCCGTTTTTCTATGAGCGTTTATTTTTAATATAGCCACTAACGACAGCTCTCCTGAACGTTCGTTAAATTAACTTTTTGACCTAACTTAGTGAAGTCTGCTTTAACCAATCAAATTTCTGCCTTCTCCAGCGCTGAGATTTTGTGTCGCGGTCATCAACAGGTTGGGCCAAAAGGTTAATTTGACGAGGGCTATAATTAAACACTAACTGAAGTGGCTATATTAAAAATAAAAGCTAATCAAAAAAAAAAACACAGAACCAAAGTTTAGTCTAATTTTCATAAGACTGAATTTTTTTTGATTAATGGCTAACAAAAATATGGTGACAGATTACATTTTTAAAATCGGCTTTTAAAAAGAACTTTTCAATATATTTAGTTTCAAAATTTATTGTACATGTTTGTGTTTTGAACGTTCATTTTCCAAAGAATATTGATGATAGGTGCTCTTTTTTACCTGTATTTCCGGTCGGTACCAACTCTAAAGTTCCAGATACTCCAGCGTTAGTGCTGATTGGTTCATATGCTGTAAATAAAGAAAAACAAATTTTGGTATTGCTGTGGCGTTTGTTGTTTCAGTGCTGTGAACATTTAGATACAGAATAGGAAAATCTAGTTACGGGTGATTATATATCCTCATTATTTTCTTATATTCCTGTCGAAAATGGATGTGGAAAGTATTGTCAAGAGGTTTGGCATAACAAAACAACATGTGGAAAGCACCACTTCAACCTTAGAGGGTATGCTTATATGATTTTTCCTTTAAAGACTTAATGAATTCTACTTCTTCGAAATGTCGTGATCATTTGAACAATATGATACTTACTGATGCCAGTTTGACCTGCAGTGTTCAGAGACTGATAATTTCCACCTGAAAGAAAAAAACCAAATTCAGTTCATGTACCTGTAGAAGACAGGCTATACACGTCGATTTGTTGCAAAACTTTACCCCAAATTATCGAGAATGTAAAAGATCTGTTAATGTCTAGAAAAAGTGAGCTGCCCTTAGCTACATTTTCAATATGGAGAGAACATTGTTTATTAATTTGACATACCTAGTTGAGCTGGGTCGATCTGATTACCTGTAAAGAAAGTGTACGAAAGTAAAGACAAAAGAACCATGTGGACTCTAAGGAACTTATATGTATATATTCACTTAGCAAGAGCAATGCATATCCCATTTCATAGTGTGGATTACAGATACCTCATGATGTTGAATTGAAATGAAAGTTGTGTTTGAAGATATTGGACATCAGATGTGACAATCTAATTTCAACATCAAGGTAAATTAAGAATCAAGCCTACCTCCTGATATCTGAGAAACGGCTGCGCTGGCTGCAGCTAAAAATAAATGAAAAACTTGTTAAGCATCTCAAATTCTTAATCTAGATCATAGAGCCATTCAGTTGAATCCTGCGTCGTTTTATGCAACAATATCGGCCAAATTGGCAAGAATTCTATTAGTATTATCCACCTATATCTTTGTATTAAAATATAGAATGTCTGAATTCCGACTTACAACACAGCTTTAGTTTGGAAAGGGGTAGAGTTAACCACACAATCTGATATACATGTATGTGCATGTATGTTATTTCTCATAATAATATCAACATACCTGAGAGTTGTGAAGCGGCGGCAGCAGCTGAAGCTGAAAGTAAAATAGATAAGCATTATAGTTTTTGGCAATAAGGCCCTGCAAATCAATATGTGATAATATACAATAATATACAATACATTTAACGAATGAACGAACTGTTTTTGTTATTTTTTTCGTTATATAATCCTTTAAGCGGATACAAAATGACGCTTCAAATTTTAGAAGTTATCCTTACCACCATAAGGATCGTTTATGTTAGTCGTTGTACCAGAAACTGGATCAACGTATGTACCAGACGTCGATGAAGTTGATACGGGATTCTGCAGAACTTGTGAGCCTAATGTACTTGCATACTGTCCACCTTGGGATCCACTTAGTGGATCAACAAAGCCTACGTTTGGGTTAGTAGGTACTACCTCAACGAACTGTTGTCCAGCTTGGTTACCCAAAGGATCTACATACTGTCCTCCTTGGTTAGCCAAAGGATCTACATATTGTCCTCCTTGGTTACCCAAAGGATCCACGTACTGTCCTGATTGGCTTGCTGGGTCAACAAACTGTCCATTTTGGCTTGCTGGGTCGACGTACTGTCCTGATTGGCTTGCTGGATCAACATACTGTCCTGTTTGGCTTGCTGGGTCAACGTACAGTCCTGATTGGCTTGCTGGATCAACATACTGTCCTGTTTGGCTTGCTGGGTCAACGTATTGTCCTGTTTGGCTTGTTGGGTCGACGTATTGTCCTGTTTGACTTGCTGGGTCGATGTACTGAGCTGATTGGCTTGCTGGGTCAATGTACTGTCCTGATTGGCTTCCAAATTGACCATTGGATAATGGATCGATGTATTGTCCAGTTTGGCTAGAAGCTGATACCACCTGTCCACCTGTAGTTATTACTTGGTTGTTGGCGAGAGGATCTATGTATTGTCCACCTGCACTTCCTGCCGACAAAGGATCAATGTATTGGCCTTGATTATTTGTTAATGGGTCAATATATTGAGCATTTTGGGTACCGATTTGATTATTGCTGGATGCCGCATATTGAGAACCTTGGTTTCCGATTTGGTTACCACTACCGACTGTACCGATGTATTGTCCACCTTGATTGCCGACCTGGTTATTAGTGGTTACAGATCCGACATATTGACCACCTTGGCTGTTGATTTGGTTACTGTTAGAAATACCAACTAGCTGCTGATTGTTTTGGCTCGAAATCTGATTTGATTGTTGAATATTATTGATATTGACTCCTTGATGGATGTTACCTCCTTGTACGGTTATTTCTGGTCCACCAACACCACCAGTAGAAAGGGTAGACAATGGCTGGAAGTTAATGCCTTGCTGTGCTGGTTCATTGTACTGCATTGTATTAGTGTTTACTGTAGAAAGTCCAATATTATTTGATCCAGCTGCATTATTAATTGAGTTGCCTATCTGGTTTGATGTGCGACCAATAGTTATTGTTTTCGTTCCTGAAGAGAGTCTTGTTGTGCCACCTAAACTTCCTTGGCGTCCACTACCCGAAAGATCTGAAATTTGATAAAGTTTTATTAATGAAATCTGAGACATTGACATAAATTTAATCATATATATTCATGAATAAAACTGCGTTCGTATTTTCATAAATGTACACTCCTTTTTATACAGAGCTAAAACACAACACTGCTGTCAAACCGTCAATAAAAAAAGTTGAAGCCAAAAAGAAAACTGTGTGAAAGCTTGAGTTGCAGAAAGTAAAAGTGTAATATTTTATGCTTATACAGTGAACCTTCAAAAAGCAAAGCACGGAAACTGAAGCACAATAAAGCTAAAGCCAAATCAGCAGCTTGTTCATTATAAATAAAGATAGCTTGCCAGGCAAGTTAACATACGCCCACTACCAGCTGTCAGAAATGATAGCAAAGTCTTTGGTGACTTACTAATGAACTTTTAAAGATTGAAATAATCTTAAAATTATTTTTTATAAGTCAAGGCAAAACCTCAAAATCAGTTACATCAAAATATCATCGAAATTCAAACATGAACAAGGTCTCATCTACGTACAGACAAGGCCATTTACTCTGAAACCGTTCTTCGGATTAATATCAATTTCGAACATCAACATATACATGCATACCGAGTCAAGGGCAATAACTCCAACACCGATCATCCAATTGATACAAATTTCGAATTTGACTGAGATCTCATTAATATATACATGCACATTAAGTTTCATCAAGATCAGTTAAAAACTGTAGCCTCTATCGTGGTTACAAGCCAAATTTGACGCGTATGTCAAAACAAGAGGGTGTTCTATTTCATTCTATAATCCCCCTTCCCGCTTATCATGACAAAGATATTTGTCTGCAGACATACCGAAACATTAAACAAAGTAATTACTTACTTGGAACGGGTGAATTTTGGAAAAATCCTTGATTTACATCTACAGCTGCACCAAAATTTCTATAAACTGGTTCGAAAACAGGGTCGAATTGACGATTACTCAATACTTGCGCATTATTGACTGGAACAACTAATGTTTGTCCGGGTTTTAATACCGCATCTAAAAAAGCAGTAGTTAATATTAAGGAAAGTTAAGGCTTCATAGATATTCATATTCAATCAAGTAAGACACATATCACTAGACCTTGATTATATGGGTGTAAATTATGTTAACCTTGTGCATTATTAACATGAACATTTTTTTTGTCGATATATTTACAAAAAGCAGTTATGGCAAATTTATAAGCGTTTCATCACAGTGAAATATAATATACAAAAAGTCGGGAGTATATAAAGTAATTTGCTTACCTGGCCCATTAGTAACTGGAACAACTAATGTTTGTCCAGGTTTCAATATTGTACCTACAAAAGGCAGTAGTTATGTTAAAAAAAGTTGGCATTATAGGCATATTGTATTTACCTTAGACAGAGGCCTTCAGCGTGTTTTTAAGCTTTACACCATCATGAGCTTTGAAATGACACAAAATGAAATTAACTAACCTTGTTGCTGTCCGAGTTGGTTAATGTTACCCGCTAGTCCACCATATTGCATGTTGCTTGCAGCTTGAGATCTAGCAATGACTGAAATTGAAATCTCGAATATTTAGCAAAATGATTCAAATACAAATTTTCCGTGGCCAAGCTCTCATTCCTTATTCTATTCTAATCATAAAAAATACTATCTTAAGGGACATTCCGTTTTTTGTAAAATTATACCTGAAAATATTTCTAAAGCATGCTACTGTATCTATATCTATGTATCTTCTTGATCAAACTGAATTTGTGCTAAATGGGTTAATTAAAAACGGAGAGTACTACATGTAATTGTTTATTAAGCAGTTTGACCAAGTTTTGGTGTTTGATTTAATAATGGTTCGATATTATTAGATGAAACCTTAAGAATACATAAGAGACATATTTTTCTACAATAAGGTGTTTATTTTACTAAGTTAGTTTACTAACAGCTTTCAGAAATCATAACAAACTTAAAAACCTTACGTAGATATTTTTTGAAATATTTTGGCGTTTAAAAATTTACGCCTGGATTTTTTTAGTTTCAGATACGTTAAAGGGCGCATTTTTCCAGATTCTGGTGTAAAGTTTTCAAAAATAAAGCAAAATATAGTTTCGACCTATAAATAACGGACGGTCCCTATAAATCTCCCAATCGTGGTTTGTAGTTTGATCATAACTGATCTAACGCCCAAACTCTTGCTCAAGAAACCCTTAATCACTATTAGCGGATACTTAAATGTAAGAACTTACTGTTTTGTCTCATATTTTGGGCCATTTGACCTATTCGATTTGCATTGGAAGCATATTGCTGACTTAAAGCTGTAGCTTTCTGTGCGACGTTTGCTGCTTGGACTGCGGCAGCATTATTTTGTGCTGAAATGGAAAATGGATCAGTGTAGTTTCAGGACAATATTACCAACGGTAACTTCAGTAACTTCGTCGATGACACTGACATGTAAGAGAGTCCAAGAACAAAACCAGATGCAGAATACTGGCGATTATGCAAAAGGGACACAACATGTTCTCTGATCTTTTATTCTGAATTCGTCCAGTAGAAAACCTCTGTGTAAGAAAAAAAAGTCAGCTGCGAATGAACTAGTTTACTTTTAACATTCTATTGGTGTTTTCTTGACTAGTTCTCGAATTTTAAATTTGTAAACTACAGAAGTCAGGTATACAACTGGTCTACCACACAGAGATGGAAATTCCTATAATGTCATGAATTAGCGTCCAATGATGATAAATGTTGAAGAAACAATCTAACTTCAATTTTATCTCATCAAAATTAATTTTTACACACACAGTTACCTTCAGCAGCGGCCAATGCACCAGACTGTGCTTGTTGTGAGGCCTGTATCATATGTGCCTTTACTAATCCTGCGTGTGCCAGTTGTTGTTGAGCTATTCTTGCCTGAACTGCAGCAGCTAATGGATTGACTGTCAAAAGAAAAATTGTAGCATATGATCATGTGGTACCATAAACTGTGTATGACCTGGACTAGAGTAGACTCTAGTATCTTTTTGTGCTAGGAAGAAACTGCAGAATTTCTCTCATTGATAACGTATGTATACGTATTGTATAGAGATAAAATTAAGACTAACATAAATACACAAAGAATTTACTTTGCTTATAACAATAATTATAAGTAGATTTGAATTTAATAACGATCAAAATATGTAAGAAATGTCGTTGTGTTCAAAACTAAATGTAAAGAACAATGTGTTTTACTTACTTATAAATCCCGAAGCTGTGTTGGCAACAAGACAGACAGTTAAAGCTGCTAGAAACATGATTGAAGCTGAAAGATTATAAATTAAATTTTTATCTTCAACAACTTACTGCAGATGGAGTAGCCTTTGACTAAATCTGAAAATGTAACACCTTGACTTTCTCATTTCATGAACTTCCTTACCGACTACCGATCTGCGATTTTTCAATTTTGATAAACTTCAGGGGGTAATTAATAATAGAATAATTTTAGAATATTGATGACGAGATCATTTAATATATTATTAAAGAAGAAATTAATTTAAACAAGAAATCAGCGTGTTCATCATGCAAGCTTGCATTAACTTAAACAGATGACTTGGTCTTTTTTTTAATGTGACTATCATTATTCGAATAATGCTTACTTTCGTATTTTCGTATGAATATTTAATTGTATAATACATAGTCTTTCAATAAAAAAAGTAATGTAAGTCACGTTTAAGAAAAAATCATAAAAGTCTAATGATAAAAACCAGAATTAAATGAAGCGCATCGTAGCACACTTACCTTTAGCTGTTCGTGGCAGCATTGTCTCGTACAAAGTGAAGATTCTATTTCTATATTTAAAATAATAAATGGATAATGGATTGTTTTCAAATGATTGATCATTACATATATTATTCTTAATTTTCACAAATATTCAAATGAGGACACAAAAATCATTGAACTTTGCCAAATCCATCAAATTGGTGTCCTTTTTTAAAAAATTTACCAAGCCTATTCAATCGTGATCTAATTATTCATTATTACATATTTATTGTGATATTTTTTAAAAGTTATTTTCGTTTCAACATAACACCTGACGCACTAGGTAAAACATGACCTAACGGCCTATTGTTTGAGGTTACTGGGTTGGTAAAGATGGCGCCACCCACGAAGTGTGATAGCCTGTAAGACACCATCGTTCAAATATCGATACTCATATACATATTCTGCACTTAAAGTTCAAACACGTTATTATAGAAAAATAATTATTTGACACATGACACACCATGGCAATAAATACAGGAGATAGAAAAATTTGTTAATGATATTAAATTGAATTTGTTAAAATGCGGTTTAACG